TGTGCCCTGCAGGTGCTGGGCCTTCCGGTCCGGCGCCCACCTTCCACCTCCCCTGGCCCCGCGCGGGCCGCCCTGCACCCTCCTCCTGCCTCAGACCCCAGCCTGCGTCTATGGGGAATGTGTAGGAAGTGACCTCTGTAGGGTAAAGGCCTCTCCGAGGAGGTGGCGTGTGAGCAGGGACGGGGACCACGAGGGACCCTCCCGAGAGGCTCTCTCCGGGCTGTTTTCTCTTGACTGGTCCTCCCCAGTCCGTAGGCAGACAGACCCTTGACCCCACTTGACAAACCGAGGTCGTGTGGCTCATGGTAGGGAGGACTGGCAGTCCCGTCCTTCCCTGAGCCGGATCAGGACCCTGGCCCCTGCTGAGTTCCGCCCCCCAGCCCCACCTAGTCAGTCTGATGGCCTTGGGTTAGGGACCACCGCTTCAGGCCCTGCCTCCACACCCAGACGTTCCACGAATGTTTACTGGGCTTATCTCATAGGGCTCTGGATGTGAGGGCAACAGCTAGGGACGACAGGAACAAACATCTTTGCCTTCGGAATCTCACCCCATCCCCTGAGGGTCCACAGTCATCCTTGGTGCAGGCCCAGAAGAAGGACCCTGGAAACTGGGGTTATCACCTGCCTCCCACCGGGCTGGGCTGGCTGGACTTGAGAAGGTGGTCCCGGATGGCGTCCCCTGGGTCACCACCCTAGGTCTCAGGACCTCCAGGGCTGCAGATGCCCTTCAGTGGCCTCACCGCCTCTGTGGAACCTGTATGGGGCTACTGTAAGCCTCACAGCTCCAGTCAGGCATCTCGGGGGTCTTTGTTCTGCTGAAGGACAGAGGGCCCCTCCAAATCAGTAACTCCACCAGAATCAACCCATGGTACAAGGGTCCCAGAGAGAGACCTGTCCCCTGTGCCTGCTGGATGCAGAGCAAGGCCAGGAAAAGGTACTCCTGGACCAAAGGCCATGGACTCAGCACAGAACTGCAGGGCCTGGACAGCTCAGGCATCCATGGGCCAAGACGCCCCGGAGGCAGGCCTGTTGGGAACAGGGTCTCCCAAGGCAGCTTGGCAGAGGCAGGAGTCCTGGGAGTTTGAGCTAGGAAAGGAGGCCAGGGCATGCTCCTGCATCTCTAGCTCCTAGCAGGGGCGGGCAAGGGCTGTAGACACCATTGCCTGATCCTTGACTCTTCAGGTGGGAGAGCCAGGCCCAGACAGGAAGGGGTCTGCCTGGGTGAGTCAGGGGCCAGAGAGGATTAGAAGCCACTCTGCTTGGCCTCCACTCCTGTGCCTCCCAGAGCCTCGTGGGTCAGTCTCTCCAGGACAGTGAGCATCCAGGTGTTCATCCTACTCGTAATTATGGAGCACTTACTACCTGGCAGGCTCTGTGCTGCTGAGGGAACAGCATGGAAGTCCCTGCCCTGGTGGAGTGTGTGTTCTAGACAAGGGACAGACATAAAATGGAGCAGGTGGCTCACACAGGA